CGTAAAACACTTACTAAAGCTAATACATGCCGACGGGTCCTGGGGTAAAAACGTTAAATATGATTTCGGGGTCAGAGTACAGCAGTCTGTTTTTGTGTTGGAAAGCGCATATTCTCTGTAGTCTAGTATTGCTCAGCATGAAGTTGCCAGCTGTGTACATTTACTTTCTGAATTGACGAGCTTTCAGTCACGTGTTTTTACTTCAAAGAAAAGGGGCAAAATTAAAGTTAAGATTTTGAAGATTAAAATTCGTGTATGATTTGTATTGTCATCTCATTGCTGCCACCTATTCTGTACAGAAATTGATATGATTCTACAGCTCACTGGTGTGACTTTTCTTAAGAAATTTTTTTGAGTTTGAATTTTTGAGAAAGCACGTGGAAGTATTTTCTTGCTTTGGCCGCTAGGCTTGTGGTGCTTGACTGGCTCAACTCATCATCCTTCTGTTCCTTCAACTTGCACATAGTGCTGGGCGCCTTTGGGGGGGTTCAGTTTTTGTTTGCAGTTATAGGTAATAATGTTAATGAAAATGATGATAATTATAATAGATCGCCTTTATGTAAGGCGCTCTATCACCTTCAAGCGTTGGCTCTGAGGTAACAAAAGACTAACCTAGCACTTGTGCTCCGTGTGTTACATGTATTGAACACTTTTTCATCCATGCCTCGTCAGTTCTATACGACAGGTGTGTGTATGACACTTGTGTTCAATTTCATGCAAAAGTTTCGTTCTCGTCACTCTAGCTGCTGCACGTGTAGTTTGTAGAAGTTCAGAATGTGTTTAATTTTCACCAGTGCATATATTCGTGATAGCTTCTAAGATCATTTCACTTTGTGTTCTGGTAGATCAGTGCCCACACCAGCCCACCAGGTACTTTCAGGGATTTCTGTCTGACTTGAATGAAGATGCCGATGTCTGTAGGAACACACTTATTTCTACTTTGTGTTTGAATGTTTGGTTGCTTTTTTTACTGTTGACCTTTGAGAGATGTGATGAGAATTGAATAAAAAAAGTCGATAAAAATTTGTTGGAAACTGTTCTCTGTTGAGTTCTTTGTACGAAAAGGGTGTTTTGTGTGTTGGTTTTCTGTTCATTTCTACCCAGGTATTTATGGGTAGTCTGTGGTCTGCTCCTACTTCTGTTTCTTTCATAACTTATTTTTGTCCTAGTCTGTTTAAGATTAAATATGCGGGTGGCTGGAGGGCACCTCTGGTAGGTCCTACTTCTTTACTTTCGCCCTGTTAATTCTGTCGGTCTGACTTTTTCCCGGCACGAAATGATTATTATTGTGTCCATGTGCTTCTTTGTACTTGAACAAACAAACTAGATTAATTGTGACCATTATTTTTGAAAGCTCGTCAAACTATCTCGGTCTGAAGTGTCTTTAGGCCATTTCCAAAGGGGGGGACATTTCTTGTTTATGCACAGTAGAATTGTAAATGGGCTGATTCATCATGTCACGCTCACAACTGTGCCTGATCTACAACAGGGAACTGCTGCTTTTTCTTTTCTAATCCTTACTATCATCATTTTTCCTCTCCTTTTTTGGTATTTTTGTCACACTCTTGTGACATGCTTTTTCCGGGGTGCCTTGAAAGTCGAAGCAGACTTTGTGCTGTTGAAGCTAGAGAGGGGAGCAGTCTAAATCTGATTCCCTGTAAAGACCTTCTCCGTTGACACCCACCCCTTGGCGCTCAAAATATGACCTTATGCAATTGCGAGTGCCGTAAAACGTCTACTAATTTTATTATTTTTATTTAATAAACTATTGCCACGCCCAGTCAGCAGCAGAAATAATTTACAGTGACTTTCGGGGCCCCGGGAATTATTTGTACATTTGAGTCAAGTCACTGAGACTGGCACCCAGGAATTTGTGTTTCTGACCTTATTGTGTTGCAAGTACCGTAAAACACTAAAACAAACAAAACAATTTGTGTTTTTTACGCTTTACGCTGGGTCTCTGCTTTTGTGATGTAGATGTTTTTATACAAATTAAATAATTTAGTTTCCTAAGGGGGGATATTAACATGTTCTTACGCACAGTAAAATTGTGAATGGGTTGATTTATCAATGTCACGCCCATACATGTACTGTGCCGAAACAACATAGGGGGAACTGCTGCTTTTTCTTTCCTCATCCTACCTATCGTCATTTTTCCTCTACTTCTTTTGTATGTTTGTCACTCTCTTGTGAACTGCTCTTTCTGGGGTGCCTTGACAGTCGAAGCAAACTTTGTGCTGTTGAAGGTGAGCAGTCTTGAGTCTGATTCCCTGTAAAGACTTCTCTGTTGACACCCACCCCTTGGCGCTCATATGACCTTATGCAGTTGTGAGCGCCGTAAAACCTTACTGAAACAAACAGATCATTTAGGAGGTGGGCGTCCAGCCCTGCATGATAGGGCCAACCTGGGCTGAGAGGTACATAAACAACATCCCAGCAGAACACCCAAGTTATTTGATAAAAATTGCTCCCCATTTAGGAATCAAACCCATGTCTCCTACGTCAGCTACGTGCAACAGAGAAGCGCCTAACTAACCGCTACACCACATACACAGTGTGCTGGAGGTCCTGAACTCAGTGGAGATGACAATTACAATCTTTATTCATCTCCCAGGGAGAAATTTGTCTTGGTCCTTAACTATGGCAGTTGACGTTATAAAAGTTAGATATAAAGGTGCACTCACGCAAACGCACAACAAGACAGGACATTAGCAATATGAGGAGATGTCATGTAGGCCATGCAAGGCATTTTTG